GAAGGGGAAGACATGGAGGCAGTGACAGATTTTACTTTCTTGGGCTCCATGATCACTGCAGATGGTGACAGCAGCCACAAAATTAAAAGACGCTTACTTCTTGGGAGGAAACCGATGACAAACCTCGACAGCATCTTGAAAAGCAGAGACATCACTTCACTGACAAAGGTCCGCATAGTCAAAGCTATGATTTTTCTACTAGCAATGTATGGAAGTAAGAGCTGGACAACAAAGAAGGCTGACTGCTGAAGAATTTATGCTTTTGAATTGTGGTGCTGGAGGAGGCTCCTAAGAATCCCCTGAACTGCAAGGAGAACAAACCTATCCATTCTAAAGGAAATCAACCCTGAGTGCTCACTGGAAGGACAAATCCTGAAGCTGAGGCTCCAATAGTTTGGCCATCTGAAGAGAAGAGAAGACTCCCCGGAAAAGACCCTGATGTTGGGAAAGAGTAAAGACAAGAGGAGAAGGGGACAACAGAGGACGAGATGTTGGACAGTGTCATCAAAGCTACTAACATGAATTTGACCAAACTCTGGGAGGCACTGGAAAACTGGAGGGCCTGGCGTGCTCTGGTCCATGGGGTCATGAAGAGTTGGACACAAGTTAATGACTAAACAACAATGTGACTACAGCTGTGATTCCCAACTTTGAGTCCCCAGATGTTCTTGGACTACAACTCCCAGAAATCGTGGCCAGCAGAGCTAGTGGTGAAGGCTTCTAAGAGTTTTAGCCCAAAAACTAAAGGTTGTGAACAACTGGATTACAGAATCAGCTAGACTAGTAGTTCCCAAACTGGTGTCCCCAGATCTTCTTGGACTGCAATTTCCAGAGGCCTTCACCACTTGCTGTGCTGGCCAGGATTTCTGGGAGTTCCAGTCAAAGAATATATGGCAACCCAAGTTTGAGAATCATTGAGGTAGACCATATGGTAAAAAAATCACCTGGGACTTATGAATCCATGTCTTGAATCTATGTTTTTATGTCACTATGGTACCAGGAAACACCAGATACATGGTTTTATGGCACAGTTTGTGCAGATAGAGTATATGAAATATTTGATAGTAGTCGGCAGGTATATCGTTTTAAAATTATGTGAAATCAAGAGTAATCATTTTACATTTCATGCAAAGCACAAAGAGACCCTGAGAAAAAATGAGCCATATAAGCCTGGTTGGCTGTTCTTTGTCTTGCCTACTGCGAAGGCTATGGAGCTTGCTAGATGTGGGGTGTGATGAAAAGCCAGACTGCTTCATGCAGCAAAAAAACAAAACAAAACACTGCACAGTCAAATGGAGGAAGCCACCAGGAGAACCTCACAGGCTCCTTACCAAAGGGATGGGCTGGTATGAAGTCAAGTGAAAAAAGGAGTGTTTTGTGGGAAGAGCTACGAAACCAGAATTAGGATAATAATCTATTATGGGTGACATTTTGCCACACCTTCCAATATAAGCTCTACATGTATGTAAGGTACCACCACTGATTTTCTTCCAAAACATTTGAAGCAATCAATATGTTTAAATATTAACTAGGCCACACTGCACAGTCAAATGGAGGAAGCCACCAGGAGAACCTCACAGGCTCCTTACCAAAGGGATGGGCTGGTATGAAGTCAAGTGAAAAAAGGAGTGTTTTGTGGGAAGAGCTACGAAACCAGAATTAGGATAATAATCTATTATGGGTGACATTTTGCCACACCTTCCAATATAAGCTCTACATGTACGTAAGGTACCACCATTGATTTTCTTCCAAAACATTTGAAGCAATCAATACGTTTAAATAGTAACTAGGCCCTTGTTACACATAATCAAGAGGCACATTCTTTTAAGTGTGTGAATTGGCCCTTTAGGAACCACTTGGGATTTTTATACACCCTTCTACATTTCAATGGCCTTTAATGCCTTCTGGTGGTTCCTCATATGGCTCTGCTTTCAGTGGGTGAAGGAAAAAGTTCTTAGTCGCTAGTATCCTCTTTTTCTGTCACTTTTCTACTTCCCTCTCTTGGATGCCAATGGTGAGGGAGCTTGAGAACATCAGGGAAGCTGATAGTGATGCCATCAGGAAGACAGACTCCATTATGAGTCTGGAGGCCTAGCTGGATGACCCAAGGCAGAATGGTCACCAGAGATGCAGGACTACGAGGCACCCACCCTCTGCATGATTAACAATTGCATCAGTGGAAGAAAAGCAACAGCTTCAAATAGCAATGGGGTGGGGAAAAAATTGAAGGGAAGCTACCGGGCAGGAGCAGTAGTAGAAGGTAACACTGGCAGAGGATCTTTTACAGACAACAGCAGTGACACTTGGGCCAACTTTTGTTAGTACAGTATTGCACAGAAGAAAACAATGGTAAATAACTTCTAAATACCTTGAAAACCCTATGATGTGACAACCTTGCCTACTGTGCCAGTAAAAAAACCTGGCAGAGTTTTCCTTATGGCGAATAAAGCATATGAATTGAAAAACAGGGACATGAAACATTAGCATAAGCTCTGGCATATGTCTATTCCACGCCCCTCCCTCCCTGAACAACATTCCACTGTTTTTATGTGCCCTCAGGTTGCATCCAGCTTATGGCAACCCCAATATGATTTCAAGGTATGTGAGAAGTTCAAGGAGGGTGTTCACTATTCTCACCCTCTGGTGAGTTTCTGTGACTGAGCAGGGATTTGAATCCAGGTCTCCTGAGTTCTAGTCCAGCATGCTATCCACTATGTCACATCAGTTCTTCCCCCAGATCATGAGGAATCTTGACATCCCAGCAAATTTAAAAGCTACTGCTGTAATTTCATGAGGAATCTTGACATCCCAGCAAATGTAAAAGCTACTGCTGTAATTTTTAGAAGTGTGTGTGTGTGTTTTCTCTCTTTGTCTTTGCATTTCTGCTCTGTAATGCTTTCTGGATCTTCAGTTTTGTATTGTGGGCATGTTTAAATCTTTTGCAAATATTCTGCGTGCGTGCGTGCATGCGTGCGTGTGTTTCTCTCTTTGTCTTTGCCTTTCTGCTCTGTAATTCTTTCTGGATCTTCAGTTTTGTATTGTGGTCATGTTTAAATCTTTTGCAAATATCCATGTTTCTTTAAGACGGCCATTTTACAATATGAAAACCAGAATGCCAGGTCCATTCTGTGATCCCAGTCAGTTATTTCCAAAGTAGCGGCAGGCCAGGCTATCATTTAACATAGTTACTATTTCAGTACCTTATAAACTGTAAAAATGATACAGATAAAATTGTGGCTAAAGCAGGAAGCTAGTATTCCTAGTGATTTCAAATCAGTTTTTCCTTAAATAATTTTGATATATATATCAAAATATATATAATACTTTTAACATTGTTCGGTATTCTCCACCTTTCCAAATAAAGTATCATATTTTAATACTCTCTTTACCTTGGTATATTGCTCACGTTCAAGCTCTTGACTAGAACCAGACCCTGTTGTCTGATTATAACGGTGCATTTTCATTTTCATCTGTCTTGTTCGTTCCTCCACTACTAAATTTGCTGTAAAAACACATAATGGAAGCCTATTAAAAAACAGATGAAAATCTTGTAAAATAATAAATGGTTTAGATGCAGTTTTGAACCTCATTACATCCAGAATAAGAAGTATTTGAACAACAAAGCAAGCAGGATGTGAATGCAAAACAGAGGCATGCAAATATTGATATAATAACTGGACTGCCTTGGAATATATATCTGGCCCTTTTTCCAGTTTCTATATAGCAATACAACAGATTTTAAAACCAGAATATTTTTTAAAACAACACTTCTTCAAAGCAGATCTTGACAGTATAGTTACAGAATTGTAGCATTTGGTTTTCGTAACATTTCAGATAACCTTAGCATCTTCTGACATAATTTTCCTTATCCTATTCAAAATACCATTACATGTCATTTGTGAACTATGGTATGTGGGTTCCAAGCAATCCTTGAACTGTATTTTCTACAACTAAGGTCATGTTCTACTAGGACCATATGGTGCAAAGTGTGCTGTAAACTGGATGGGACTTAGGTATATCCCAACCACGTTGGAACACCTTGTGCAAGTGAGGCAACAGGTCAGTGTGTCCCTAATTTGATTATCCTGTCTCCTCCAGTTACAGCACAAAAAGCTTCATTTTACATCATTCCTATTATTCCTTATTACACAACGCCATAAACTGAAACTCATCTCCTACAGAGCTTTGATGACCAAAATTTATCTATTTGTTTGCTTTTTTTTTTAAATCAAAGAAAGGATTACTGCCCCAAGGAGCTTAAAAAAGTAAAACGAAGAATTGAGGGATCAACAAAGGTAAGGAAGAAATAAGAGTTAACAAAGGATGAATGTAAGAATCACTGTTAATTCAAATCTGGATTATAGCTGTGAATGAGAATTCATTGCTGAGGCTCTAAATCCAGTGGAATAATAAATAGTCTTAAATAGCGGTCTAAATGTAGAGAAATAGGTGGAACTGTCAATATGTTGAAGGGGAAATGGAATTAATTGAAGATAGTGATATAATGAGTACACAGCAATATCTGACATTTTGTCCTAGCAAGGAAATGCCTCTAGCTCCCACGCCTGAAACCAGGACAGTTTCAAGAGAACCACTAGGGAGAAAGAGTGACTACTAGGTATTGTTGTTTTTCTCACTGATTTCCTCTGTGACTTTAAATTCTGTGCCTGCCCCTTTGTGGCTCTTGTCAATTTCAGGCTGTGGAGTAGTAGCCAGGGACACCCAGGTCCCGTCAGAGGGCCATCTTGCCTCTTCCCAGACCTAACAGAATCCTCTACATCTGGGTCTCCCACAGACATGGGGAGAGTCATGTTGGACATGGAGTGGGAGGAAGGAGGAGGCAGAAAGGTTGGGGAAAGAGAAAAGCCAGGAAAGAGAAAAGATCTGTAGAGGAAAAGGGAGAGGAGATAAAAGGAGAATCAGGAGAAGGAGGAGGGAAGTCAGGAGAAGGAAAACCCAAGGTAAAAAAAATGAAGTTGAGCAGAAAAGGGACATGGAGGAGGCAGAAAAGGAAAACTGTAGAAGAACCCGAGACAGAGTCCTGTCTGCCTGACATGGAAACTCTGAGAATACCTCAACCTCAGGAAGAGTATGAGAGTACACCCAGGGGTGAAAGCCCTGGACTGGAGTACTTTGGGAGAGAGAAGAGAAAGAACTCTCAGTTCTGACATGGCTCAAACACCAGGAGAAGGCCTGCCAAGCACCCCACCTGATTGAAAAGATTGGGGGAGGGGGGGAGAGATCATAAGCCATCCTTGTTGCAGCACCCCTTCTTTGGCTTTATCTCAAGTTGTCAGTCCAAGTAAGCAGGGGGGAAAGGCTACCCTACCAGGACAACAAAGGTGGGAAGTAATAAATTCAAGAGGGTTGCCCAGACTTGGTTTAGAACAAGTCTGGACGACCCCAACAGCTTCATCAACTCTCTGGCGTGGAAGCAGAAGCAGGAGCGACTGAATGCAGAAGCTGAGCACAAGATCAGCAAATGTTAGAGAAGTTGTGGGAAAGGAGCAGGGGAATGGCATCCCAGAGCATAGCATCCGTGTTCAGTTCAGAAGGATATGCACAGCTGCATCCTTGTGCATGTAAGTGGGAAGGGGCACACACACATGTATGCACATGTAAATGAAAGCACACATATATAAACAATGCAGCCTCACTGACCAGCTCACTCAACAGTGTGCTAAAATGTGTTGACATTTAGTACATGTATATTCCAAGCTATTCATGTAAATGAAAGCACACATATATAAACAGTGCAGCCTCACTGACCAGCTCACTCACGAGTGTGCTAAAAATGTGTTGACATTTACTACATGTATATTCCAAGCTATCTGAATTACAAATAAATAAGGGAACAAACATGAGACATTCGTACATACCAATAACATACGCTTAAAATGTACCCTTAGTAGTTATGGTACTTCCAGGGCACATGGAAGTTTGGCACACATGATACACACAGTCCAAGGTACTTTGATTATAAGAAAAGCCTGAACTCAAAATGCTTAAAGTAAATCTATTTTTACTTTTTACTATTATTCTTGGAGTTCCACCTTGTTCTTCCACTGTGGCTCTTCACTTAGAGGTTGGGTTAATATCCATTAAAGCACAGGCTAAAGTCCTTATGCTGAAATACTGGCTTAAACTGATTTTTTT